AGAGCAGTTGGGCTGTGGCCCTAATTCCCAGAAAGCTGCTCGTGTGGGAGTGAGTGTCCTCCCGTGCCCTCCGCTCCGCTGCAGCCTCCAGACTCCTGAAGGTTTGACGTGTTTTTTTTTTTTTTCTTTTTCTCGTTTTTTTTTTTTTTTTTTTTTAAGCACCGGGTGCAGCTTAGCAAAAGCTCTTGCGGCCATCGCGCCCAGTGCTGGGCGGCGGGGGGGGGAAAGGGGCTGCCTTCCTCTGCTTGCACCCTCATCTTCCTCACCTGCGCCGCGGTGGAGGCAGGTAGGTCCGTGCTGGGCTCAGGGCCGGGGCCGGGAGGAGGATGAAGGAGGAGGAGGAGGAGGAAAGGCTGGGGCTCTGTGGATGCAGAGGGAGATGGAGGGGGCTCTGGGCAAGCTGGAGAGGGGGCACGTTGAGTTCATTTTGCATGAAAAAATGACTGGATTTCAGGCTGCTTTACTAGCCTGAGGTGGCTTGTGGGTCCAGGGGCTGCGGAGCCCTTCCCTGAGGTGCCTGGAGCTGGCCTGGGCAGGGCAGGGGACGTGGGCAGCGGGACAGGGCTGGCAGGCTCCTCTGCTGCCTGCGCTGCCAGAGCATCAGCACAGAGGGGCTGCTGGGGTACCAGTCAGCCTTTTGCACTGGGACCCCCGTCCGTCCCCCTCTGCAGCGCTGGAGCATCCCGGGAGCCCCCTGCCCCGCACGGCCACGCTTCCCACCGTGGTCCCAGGGGACACCGTGGGGACGGTGTTCCTCCAGCCCGCGTCCTCACAGCATCTCTCCCCGTCCTCCGGCGTCGAGCGGGGCAGGGATGCCAAGGTTTCTAATTTGGGCGCTTCCGGCCTCCCGCGGCGTCTTTCTGGCCAGTGCTTGGCTCGTGGGTGTTCGCGCTGCCTCTGCTCGCCCTCTGATTTCAGGGAAAAAACAGGGAGATTGGAGCTCCGGGACTGGCTGTGCCAAGCCACCAAGGCAGAGCTCCTCCCCAGGAGGGGTTTCTCTTCCAGCAAAGCCTGAGCTGGCAAAACTCAAGCCCAGCCTGGACTCCCTGGATGGCCCTGGGGGACCCTCCGCGGGTCGTGTCGGGACAGGCAGGGAGTGGAGGAACCCCGGCCGGAGCTGCTGTGCCACGGGAGGCAGGCACGGAGCCCACTCCTGGGGATGGGGTGGGATGGTGGCCAAGCCCCAAAAGAGCTTGCCAGTAGCGTGGCTGCCCCATGAGGGCTGTGCTTGCCCAGGGGAGGCTTCATGAGGGCCTCGGGCTCCCCGGCACAGTAGGAGCAGCCCTGCCGTGGCTGGGAGCCAAGGGCAGCCGGGACAGCAGGGTGCAGCGAGGGTGCAGCGCCCAGAGATGCTGCCCCAGTGCAGTGTGGGAAATTCTCTCCTGTCCCTCCAGCATCCCCCTGCTCTTTACCCTGCCCCAGCAAGGGCTGCTCATGGCCCCCTCCTTGGGGCTTGCCAGCAGCGGGGTGGTGTGTCCATCCCTCTCCCCACCTGACCCCTCCTTGCTTGCTCCCTCGGCGCTGCCGCAATGGTCCCAATGGCTGTGGGCATCCGCTGACCCCTCCGGCCGTGCCAGGATGCTGCAGACCCTTCCCGGGGTCCCTCCTGGCTGCCAGCTCCCCCCTAGTCCCGCCGGAGCCGTCATCCCCAGGGAGCGGAGGGAGGGAATGGGAAGAGAGTTTGTCTTTCAGCACCTTCTCATTGCAGGAAGGTGCGGGCTCGCCCACGCCCCGAGCCCTGTCTGGGTCCCCTCCCTGTTCCCTGGCACCCAGTGGGTGCAGCAAGCAGCAGCCGGGCGCCGTGGCCACCCCGGACCCTCGCCTCCGCAGTGAGCGGGGCCAGAGGGGATCCCGCTATGGCTTCACCCATGCTGGAGGTGGGATGGGGACTGGCGGATGCCTGCTGGCATTGCAAAGGGACCCTGGTGGCACCCGGAGACATGGCCGTGCCCCGGCCAGCAAGGGTTAACCATGGCTCCTCGCTCCCAGCGGGGCCAGACCACACGGCAGCTGCTGAGCTGTAACGAAGCCCGTGGTCTGATGTTAATCACGCTGTTCGGCTCACGCGGGCTGTGGCCTGCCGTCACCCCATCGCCCCGCGCCCCCGGCCCCGCCAGCCCCCGGGTGCCGTGCCGAGCCGAGCCGCGCGATGCCGGGGGAGGCTGTGCGGAGCGGCTGCGGTTTATGTAAGGCATGCGAGCTGTGCGCAGGGTGTCCCTGGGACACACACACACACACACACGCACGTTACGTAAATCTGCCCAGCGCGGCTGGCAGCAGTGCCCCCTCACCGGGAGCCCAGAAATGGGGTACCCACCTGGGGGCTTCACCTGCTCCCCTGGGACCGCTGCCCCGTGCACCCGGCTGGAGCATCACCCCGGGAACGGGCAATGGGATGGTGGGAGCTGGTGGGTTTGGGGTCGGTGTGTCTTGCTGCTGGGAGGTACTGGTGCTGTGCATGGGCATGGGGGGGATGCTGTGTGAGCGCTGGCAGGGTGATGGGTCCCAGTTCTTGCCCGGTGGGCTGCAGGGCATGGCTGGGTTGTGTGCAAGCCTGGTGGGCTGCGGGGCAAGGGTTTAAGTGGCCCCAGGTACTCGTCAGCCCTTGGCAGGCAGCAGCATCGGGATGCTGTCGTAGCAGCGTCGGGATGCTGTCGTAGCAGCCTCGTGCTCCGTTTTAGCCCCTCGGCACCCTTGGATCGCACCTGGCCCTTCCCACCTGGCCATCGTGGGCTCTGCAGCCAGGAGGGGAGGCAGAGGAGCTCTGTCTTCATCCCAGGCAGCCGAAGGAGGGATGGTGGCAGGGGGACAAGGCTTAGCCATGAGACAGGGTGACCCTGGACTGTTGCACGGGCAAAGTCTCAGCATGGGTTGAGGACAGATCATTGCCATTTGGACAAAACTGGAGGGGTCGTGAGCCCCCGGGACCCCCAGCCCGTGGGGTGGCCACGTGCTCCATGCCAGGCATGCCACCGCCAGCCCCCCTGGCACCGGGGCTGAGGCGCTTGGCCCATCCCGGTGTTTCTCCCATTCCAGTTTCGCCCAGAGCGGGCGGCCGGTGTCTTTCATTGGCGACGGGGCGGCTCAGCCGTGTTGCCGAACAAAGGGCGCTTTCTTTGCATGGAACAGAGCACACCTGCCCGCCTTGGCACAGCTACCGCTGCCTGCGCCGGTGCCCCCGGGGTTGGGCGGCACCGCCGGCACCGCACCGGTTCCTGGGCGTCAGCAACCCCAGCAGCTCACCCGCCCGCCCAGTCACTGCCGGAGCCGGCGGAGGCTGCACGCTCACCGGGAGCAGAGCTGCCACCGCCGCCTCGTCCTGCCATCGCTCACCCCAAGATGCTCAAGGCTGCCTAGAGCCGGGGGAAGGTCCTGCTCGCCGCGGCTCCCCTGGGTGCCCCTCTCCCTGACCCCCCAGCACGCCGGGAGCCCCCATTCGTAGGACAATAGGCAGGAGGAGCACGGAGCCCCCCACGCCAATGGATCAAAAACTCCAGCTCCAGCATTCGGAGAAGAACGTCCCCAGGGCCGCCCAGGCGGCTTTCTGCCTCCTCCAGATCCCGGAGCCAGACCCCTTCAGCCTGTGGGTCTAGGTGCTCCCACTCGCCCAGCTTTGCCTCTCCAGGACCCGGTGCCACTGGTGGAGACGTCCCCTCGTCCTCGCCGCTGCAGGGGAGGCGGTGGGGTCCCCAATGGACCTTCCAGGTAGCTGGCTGTGGTGTGGGACAGGGGGAATGCTCGCCAAACTGCAGGACCGGCTTCTTGTGCTCCGGATGGGATGAAGGGCAGGGGACAATGCTGCCCTGGCAAGCCCGGGGGAGCCGGGGGGACCCCGGGGATGGCATGTGGCAGGGTGACCTCATGGCACTGGGAGGGAGCTGTGCTGGGAGCATCTTCCCAGTACGGGGCTGGATGGGAGAGGTCCTGTCCCCGGAGGGACAGGGTAGGTGTGCCTGGGGTGGCCCCGCACCCCAGGGTGCCCCTGCTTGGGCAGGGTACCCCAGGGTGCTTCCTGCACAGGGGCTCATGCAGCAGTGTGGGAATGGGGACTTTGACCTCGCCTGGGCAGGGGACGTGATGGGGACAGGCAGCTCTGGGGACACACGCTCCTCCTGTCCCATTCTCCAGTCCCTGTCCTCATCCCGGCTGCCTGCCCGGCTATTGAGGTGGCTCTGTCCCACCCTGGAGCAGGGCTGCAATTTTGCAGGGACCCATGCCTGTCCCCCTGGGCTTCTCTGGCTGCCAGGCAGGCAGGGCAGGAGGGCAAGGGGTGGTGTTTGCTCCGCTGGGAAGGGTTGCGATCGCCGGCTGCTGCAAGGACTGGCTCCGAACCCTGCGTCTGCGTGTGGCCTGGGTCCCGGAGGAGCGTTAATCCAGTAAATCTCCCCAGGCATTTCTACAAGGAGGGGCCTCTGGGAGCTGGGAGCTCCCCCCTTGCTGCAAGCCCTCCTGGGAAGCGCAGCCCAGCCCTGGCCGGAGGCGAATACCTGCACGGGGCAAGGCCTCCCCATGCTGGGTGCCAGCGGCCGGGCACGAGGCCAGGCTGGGCGCGGAGGGACGGGTGGGCGCAAGGTGTGTCCCGGCCGCCAGCACCGCTGGGCTGGGCACAGGAGGGATGGGATGGGATGGGATGGGATGGGATGGGATGGGATGGGATGGGATGGGATGGGATGGGATGGGGTGGGGACCCACGCTCCAGCCATGTGCACTCCTGGATCGTGCATCCCACCGGGGCGCGGGAGCCTGGGATCCCCGCGCTCTGCTGGGGAGCATCCCATCTAGCATGGGACAATGGAGCAGCATCAACCCCCACCATCCCCGTGCCTCAGTTTCCCCCCCATTGCAACCTGTTCATGGCTGCCCCGGCAGCGTTCGGGCAGGGTTCGGTGCAGTGCGGCATGCCCCGCTGATGCCCCGTTCCCTGCCCACAGGGTCCGGCCAGCCCACGACAGCGCTGAGCACCACATGAGCGGCAGAGTGGCATGGCCAGCGACGCAAGGATGGGGGAGACCCCGCCGCGGTGGAGGAGAGCCCAGGAGACAGCGCAGGATGCCCGGGGGATGGAGAGCAGCGGGGTGGTCCTGCCCCGGAGCGCTGCCACTGAGCTGGGACTCCCGGGCTACCAGGAGCCTGGCAAGCTGAGCTACAACACGGAGAAGGGCTGTCCCTGGAGGGGCTCCGAGGGATGCTTGCGGCCAGGCCAGGAGCTTGCTGGCAGCCAGCTGGGCTGTCCCTGCCCGCCAGCCCCGCCGTGCCTGCGGGATGCCCTGTGCCACCCCAAGGACGGAGCCAAGCTCCCGCCGCTGCTGCCACCGCCCAGGAACGGGCAGCCCAAGGCGGGCTGGGCTGAGCCCTGCAAGGAGCGCACTGGACCGCGGTGGGCTGAGGCCGTGCTGGCCCCCCTGGCCCTTTACAGCCACACGTACCACCGCTACCCCCTGCCCTTCCCAGGGCTGGAGACCTGGCACCCTGGCACCGCCGGCAAGCCCCGCGCTGCTGCAGGGGACGGGACCAGTGACCCCCCGGCTTTCCACCACTGCCCCTTCCTTGTGGAGGCCAAGCACAGCCCCTTCCTCCTGTCCTCGCTGCTGCCCACGGGACCCCCAGCTGAGCCCCCGTTTGGCAGTGAGGGGCCGGAGGGACCAAGGGCAGTGGGTGACGGGCGCTTTGCCAGCATGGATTGGCGCCTGGGCTCCTACGCGCCCACCTGGGGCCAGCCCCTCTACCTGGGGCTCCCACCGAGGTGCAAGGTGGCTCCGGCTCCCTTCGACGACTGCTCCAGCTCAGGGAACAAGGTAGGCAACCCCGGACGGCCGCGCCGGCGCCTGGTTCCAATGACGGCACAGCTCTGGCTCCCACAGCCTGGCTCCGGAGCGGGGATGCTCAGGGCTTGGCTCCCCTGGGTGACAGCAGGCTCCAGCCTCAGCTGAACCCGGCTGGGAGCGGTGGGTTGCGAAAGGCGATGTTGGCACCCGCGCCCAGGGCAGGGCCGGGCTGCACCCGGCGTCGGCGGCCCCCGAGTGGGATGCAGCCCCCCGCTCGCTCCTGCAGGGTGGCAGGGGGGTCCCAGCCCCCCGAGGGAAGCGCCACTGGGAGGGATGATTCTCTCCTTCCCGGGGCGGCCCCGTGGCGTGATGCAAGCCCCCGGGGCTGAGTCACGGCGGCAGGAGCTGCAGCACGGAGGCGGCGGGAGCCAGAGCTGCCAGCCCGTGGGTGCGCCCGTCGCACCCCGTGACACTGCGGCTCCCCATTCCTTTCCCACGCGGGCAGGGGTGACACAGGCACCCCGTGGGCTCGGCCACCTGGGGCTGGAAAGCACCGGGCAGCTGCCCAGCTCGGGAGGGTGGTGGGGGAAACTGAGGCAAGGCCATGGGATGCTCCCCATCACCACCTCCCAGTGATGTGGGTGATGGAGGGGGACCCACATCTGGGGTGACACCAGCCTTGACAGCCCCTCTGCTCCCCTCCAGGAGTTTTACGTGAAGAAAGAACCCAGCTTCCACCCCCCGGCCAAGGACCAAGCGTCATCGCAGCTGCTGGGCAAGGGCCAGGCAGGGCAGGATGGAGACGGGGAGGGGGAGCCGGCAGTGCTGGAGCTACCGGGAGCCCCGTGGAGGGATGGCCGAGCGGCGGGCAGCTCTGAGCCCAAAGACGAGCGCCTGGCATACCAAAGCCTCCAGCCCGGCTTGCCACCAGGACCGGGGGAGCCCAACCCATCGCCTCCGCTCACGGATGGGAACTACCTACCGGCCCTTGCCAAGCCAGAGCCACCCCCGACTTGCCTCTGCACTGCGCCGGGCTGCAATGGGTGCCCAGAGGTAGGCTGTGGGGCGCTCGGCCCCTTCGAGCCCACCCTGAGCATCCCCGGGGGCCGTTTTCCATGCCCACCCAGCAACCACACCAAGCTGAAGAAGACCTGGCTGACACGGCACTCGGAGCAGTCGCTGCCGCACTGCAAGGCTCCCCAGTGGGACGGTGGCTCCGAGCCAGCCGGTGAGGGCAAGCGCTCGGCCAAGCGCCCACACGGCACCGCCGATGGACCCCGCGCTGCTGGCGAGGGCGCGGGGGCAGCCAAGAGGGGCACGAAGGCCACCGAGCAGATGGCCGCAGTGTGCCTGGGTGATGGCATGGAGAGCGGAGGGGACCCAGAGGAGAGGAGGATGGAGCTGGGAGAGGGAGGTAAGGCAGGGGGGTGCACAGTGGGTCCAGGGAGAGGGTGATTGCAGCACCCGATCCCTGGGGAAGTTTCGCATCCCGGTTCCCAGCATCCGCAACACAAGCTGTGAACATGTGAGGGCTGGGAAACCGGCTGCGCTTGGGGTTTTTCCAGCACGGCTGGGTCTGGCAGCAACTCCCAAGGTGGGGATTTATAGAAATGCCCCTTTGGGGCAGTGCAGCATCCTCAGGTGTGATGTCCGGGGGGGTGGCAAGCGCTGTCGCTGGGTCGGAATCCTCCTTGGGGAGGTGCCGGCATCTCAGCTCTGACCTCTGCAGATCTCCAGCCCTACTTTCCAGCCCTACTTTCTGGCCCAGTTTCCAGCCCCTGCCATGGTGTGCCAGTCCCTCCCGGCTGCTGTGGCCCCATGCACGGTGTCCCAAAGCACCTCCCGTCTCCCCCAGACCCACCGAGCCGCACGGGCCCAGAGCCGCAGGACCCGTGGTGCCTGCAGAGCGTGCCCTGCACTGCCCTGCCCGAGACCATCCCACGGTGCTGTGCCTGCGCCGCCCGGGCCACGGGGGACCCCGAGGGTGAGGAGGAGGAGGAGGATCCCCCCGAGAGCACCTGCAGGCTGCTGCACTTCCGCAGGTGAGCCCGGGGCTCCTGGGGAGCTCACAGCCCTGCCCAGGGCGGGGGGCTCCTGGCAGCCCATGTCGGGATGCATGAAGCATCATCCCTTCCATCACCTTGCTTTGGAGCATCCCCTCCTGTCACCCTGCTTTGGAGCATCCCCTCCTGTCACCCTGCTTTGGAGCATCCCCTCCCATCACCTTGCTTTGGAGCATCCCCTCCTGTCACCCCACTTTAGAGCATCCTCTCCCATCACCCCACTTTGGAGCATCCCCTCCTGTCACCCCACTTCGGAGCATCCCCTCCCGTCCCCTCTCTCCCGCAGGTTTGCCTTCGGGGACGGCGGGGAGCTGAGCGTCGATGGCTTCTGCACCCTGGGGGAGGCGGAGGGGGAGACGCTGCGGCTGGAGGCGGCCAGCCCCGAGCGAGGGAGCAGCAGTGCGGGCAGCAGCCTCTGCCTGGCCAAGTACCTGCTGGGGGTCCTGGGGGACCCCTTCTGCCAGGCCGTCTGCAGGGACAGGGACACGTGGCCGGGAGCCCCCGGCGGGCCCGAGGGTAAGTGGGGACCGGGCTGGGGGGTGACACTGGGGGCACTGGGGAGGCTGAGGGCTGTGTTTCCCACAGGGGTGACGGCCTGGAGGCGGGGGGAAGGAGCCTCTCAGCTCTGCGACGCCTGCCAGCGCGGCTTCTTCAACTCCCACTGGAGCTGCGCCAGATGTGGCTTCCAGCTGTGCCCCGACTGCCACCGCAGCAGGCGGGAGGCTGACGGCCATGGTATGGGAACAGGGGGGCTTGCAAAGGGGGTGTCAGCCCTGCGGGGGCTTGGCGGGGACAAACGTACCCTCTCTCTGACGCAGAGGGTCCGGCGTGGCCACCTGAGTGCATCCCCGGGCAAGACCACCGTGTCGCATCCCTCATCCCCACGCAGTTCGTCCCCACCCGCGGTGAGTGTCCCCTCAACGCCGGGACTCCCCCTCACCTGCTGCCCAGGGCTGACCCGCCTGTCCCCATCCGTCCCCAGTCCTGACCCGGCTCTGGAAGCTGCTGCACCAGGTCCGGGCCAAGTTTGGCGTCGAGTCGCACTGTCCCTGCGGGGAGCGGGCTGCGGAGCAGAGCCCGGTGGAGCCTCCACAGAGCAGCCAGGTACAGGGGGGCTGGAGAGGGCAGGAAAGAGAGGGTGCAGGTGCACCCCAACCCCTGCAAAAGGGTGTCCCGGGGGCCGCGGTGCCCACCCTCACACCCAGCAGCGATGGCCAAACCGACTCCTCCCGGCCCATCAAGGAAGGTAGGGCCGGCTGCAGCCCCCCCGCTGCGGGGAGAGCCCCGCTCCGGGGGGGTCGGGGATGCTGCACCACATCCCCTACGGGGTGCTGGGTGGGGGGCGAAAGGTGGAGGAGGGCGCGGGCACCCCTGACCCCTTTCTCCCCCTCGAGCAGAGAGCCCCGAGGGGGGCCCACCATCGCCGGGGCAGCCGCCCCCCCGGGGGGCCATGCAGACTGTCACCCTCTGCGACCTCCTCGCCTCCACCGCCGTCAAGCTGTGCCTGGGGCAGGACGGGGTGCGCATGGCCTTCGCCCCCGTCTCGCCCGCCTTGCCCAGCGTGAGTCCCGGGACAGGCAGGGCACCCTGACCCGTGATGCCCCCCACTCACCCACCCTTCAGGAGGGCTGGGGGGGCCGGGGTGGGCTGATGGGGCTCCCCTCTTACGACCCCCCCCAGTCCCCCTGGTCCCCTTGGTCCCCCCGGTCCCCCTGCCTCCCACTGCATCCTGGCACCCAGCGGGCTGCTCTGGCTGGACGACCCCGGCCACGCCACCAACTACAAGCTCTTCCAGGAGCACTGGCGGCAGGGCCAGGTGAGCCCCCTGCCCCCGGGGGTGCGTGATGGCACCGCGGACCCCCCCAGCCCTGCTGAGCCCCGGCTGCCCCGGCAGCCTGTCCTTGTTTCAGGGCTACAGAAGAGGCTGGAGGGGCGGTTGTGGGGGCCAGGGGCCTTCTGCCCAGCCGGGGGGGAGCAGGCAGTGGAGGTGGTGAACCTGCGGGCACCCGTGAGCCGTGTCAGGATGAGCAGACAGGAGTTTTGGGATGGCTTCGCTGCCAGCGTGGGTAAGCATGCAATGAGTTTGTGGGGTCCCAAGTGCAATCCTGGGGTGTAAAGGGGGGAGGCGAGCCAGCCTGCGCATCCCTCCTGCCCCGGCAGCACGACGCCAGCATCCCCATGGGTGATGCCATGCTCCATCCTGCAGCATCCCTGGAGCAAGAGCAGGGCGGTGGGGACCTGCTGAAGCTGGAGAGTGGCTTTGGGGACAGGGACCTGTGCCGGTAGGTGACAGCAGAGGCTTCACCGGGGTGGGTTCCCCCCTCCCCAGCAGCCTGGTGCCCCCTCCCCTTGCCGGCTGGGTGCTAGCCCCTGCAGCAGCGGGATGTGTCCCAGTGTGGGATGCAGGGAGCAGGGCTAGGGGCAGCGGGGCGGCTCTGCCAGCGCCGGTACCCGGTGCCCCAGCCTCGAGCACCATGCCTGTGCCGCAGGGCTGCCAACCTGAGCGCCAGCCTGCCGCTGCCGGAGTACTGCGGGCCCACTGGCCGCCTCAACCTGGCCACCTACCTGCAGGGCCAGCGGGGCCGGCGCTGGCTGCGCCCACGCGTCTGCGTGGCTTATGGTGAGTGCCGCCCGGCAGCACCGTGGTGCCCGGGGCGGGGGGCCGAGCTGGACTTCCCCCACCCGTGATGATGCTCGCCCCTCACCCACCGCCCTGCTCCTGCTTGCAGGCGTGCATCCCCAGGACCGGACCATCGGGACCAAAAACCTGACGGTGGAGGCAGCCGACTCCATCAGCGTCCTGG